GCTGAGTAAGTTCAAGTACGCCATTGATAAACCTGACGACTAACATGAGAAACTACCCTCAACGTCACCTCAGTGTTATTATGAGCAATAAGTTGTGCTCAAAACTTCAGCAGTAAATAAATAACACTGTGATATTACTGTGTCCTGTCATATAAAATTATCCTACAATGGAATTATACCCAATCACAGTTTAATTTCATTTACGGTGACAATTAGATCACACAATTTGATTTGAATATTTTTGGTTTCCAAAGTAAACTATGGTGGTATAATTTGGAGTTAATTAAATTCACTTTTAATTCACGGAAAATACTCATCCAGACATGAATATAAGAATAACAAAGGTCAACAAACAAGAGTCTCTTTTCGGCGGTGAATTCATTCACTTAGTTGTTCAATCGCATTTATTTATAATTATTGTGTCAAACAAAAATTAGTTACGGTTACTGTTTACGTCATCAAAATATTTCTAAAACCTGATGAAAATCATAATTGTAACTAGGGGAGGGGGGTGAAGATTGGTAAGTATTAACAAGGGCTGCGTAATATGAAATAGGATGTTGACGGAGACACGTGTGCAAAATTAATTATTTAATAGGTAGAAGTGAAACAATAGAAGACGAAGACTTGGTAAAGGAATGTTTATTTGGAGATCGGTATCTCTACATAGCCACATGTATGTCTCATCTTCAACGCCATCTTTGCACACATCTTCCGTGTTGTGCTACATCTCGTCTTCATATTGCAGGTGTTTCTTTGTGTTTCTTTCATGTCTCCCGTGTACCTCCACAATGCTCTGTTATTTGCCTTCACTGAAATCGAATCTGTCTGCCTGCTATTCAATTTTTTATGCCGATTAACGTCTCTTTCTATACTACTGATAAATCTTATCAGTAGCACTCGCCATAGAAGGAGTAAAAGGGTTGGTTAAGAAGGTGTTACTAAGATGTCATACAAAAATTCAAAGAAAAGAAGCATTAACAAAGTACTAGAACTTAGCATTATACCCAAGGTAAACGCAAGGGGTGGAGAAGTTTCGCCTGTGTGCATAAATCAGGATTTTCTATCTGGATCACTAAGGCCTCGGCAATGCAAAATATACGAAAGCTTACCGTTTGTAGATAACTTTGAATGAATCCTCCTAACATATTTAGTGACTAGAGTTGAATATATGTTCAATTATCACACTCCTTATTGATCCACTGTTACATTTTCGTAGCCAAGTGAGATAATGTCCTTTGACTGTTTTAGATAAAACACGCATCAAACGATCTGTATATCTCTGTCCACATGAGCAAGTAAACTGGTAGGGAATGAATTCGCCGAAAAGAGACACTTCGCTGTTCTTAAATTAGTTTTGTTTGCAATCCCTGATTTCGCCTAAAAGCGACTCATTCCATCTTAAACAGATCAAAGCCAGTTGAAACCTGTCGAGACAAATTTACACCATAGGGCCAAGAGAGGATATTTATTCCTTTGTAATTGGGCAATCATGAATTCTGAAATTATACAACCACTTATTGTAGTTGTTTGTCAGTTTCTCTCTCCGAAGTACGTGATACTTTATGTAATGTATTTTTTTTTTTAATGAGGAGCAATCTTCCCACTGGCTTGCATCACTTAGATTTCTATTTTTATTGTCCTGGGCTGTAGAGGTAAATGATGATTAAAAAATAGAATTGGTATTAACTCCTCAGACGAGTTTCTTATAACCTCTCCGTATCGAACCCTAACTACAGCATTCTTATTAGTATCTGTCATATTAGGCCAGATCAATTTTAGCGGCTTTAACGAACTAAAACACCAGTATCCTTATCATTCACATCAATGTATGTATATTTTAATAGTGGTTTTCCCTATTATGTGTGACAATCAATATTTACTTCTCTGTTTCGAGACTAATATCCGTTCACAAGTGTCATTTATCTGGTTTCATAGTTTATTTTTAACTGTTTAAATTCGTCATCATATTTCGTCTTCAGCTAACAAAAATAATGATGATAAAAATGTAAATTAAAGCTTGTGTAATTTAACAGAAACTCGAGCTATGTGACTGTCAACAAGTTGTCATTTCCTGTTCACATAATCTGAAACATGCTCAAATGGTCGCTTCCCATTCAGGTTCCATTCAACGGCTCGTGTGTGATGTCACTCAACTGTCTTCTCCGTGTGTGTTAAATCCATCTCCATTTCCTTCTTCATATTTGTTGGGTAACAGGTTGTTGAATGGTTTGCTCATTGCCAAAGCTTCTTGTTGCTTCATCTTTCAGGCTATCTGATCTTAATTTTTGACCACAGGTAATTGTTGATGAAGGTCTCTAGCAGGCTGTTGGAGCTATTAGAAAATCAGACAAGTCTCTGAACCATATGGAAGTACTGACTTGACATCTGTGCTGAAAATTAGGACATTTATTCCTTTTACTGACTACTATAGAGTTCCGCACCGATTTCAGATTAACAAAAGCCTATCTTACCTTTGTGATCCGACGGTGACTGGCTTTGACATTCACATCCATGTTTCCTGTAATTTAGACGATGTTCCTCATTTGGATAAGTGAAAGATAAGGTGGAAATCTCTGCAGACTGGTTTTATGATTATGTGTACTCGAAAACAAGACGAATTCGCTACCTCGAAGAGACTGATAATTGATAGAATTCAATCAGCTTTAACACTATGTATTCAATAAATAGCATTGGTTACTTTCCACTGATGAACCGATGTATCCAGTCAATGGGTGCGTAATGATGAAGACTCTCAAAGCAGGACGAGATAGCTGTCCATTACTTTCAGATTTTCCAATGATTCTCTAACCGATGTCATTTCATGATGAAATCCTCAAACCAATCGAATCCCTGAAAAACCAACATTTGAATACATAGTCAGTTGTCTATTGGCAGTTGTTTAGACTAGTGTTCTGAGCCCCTAAATCCTGACTTTAGAATTTGTACATCTGATCAAGCTTTTGAAACACCAGAGTATGATAAACCACTTCAAATCATCTGTAACCCCCTGTTCAGTACACAACTATAAACTATGTAGCTGATTTACATTTTTATACTATATCTTCATACTGCTTCGTTCAATGATCAAAATACACATTTAATTTTATAGGTAAATCCAAATGGAGTATAACTGTGGAAAGAATTTTACGGCAGTTATTAAACTAAGATGTTCAGCAAACTAATATTGTTCTTTATTATTTTATTGCTTTGCGTTCCCAAGGGAACACAAGGCCTGAAGCTTCGAGCTTTGAAGTTTCAATAGCAGTGGTGTTATTCTTCTGTTTTACAGGGTGGGGTTGCTACTCTTATACCCAACCTTCCATCTTTATCAGGCTTACTATTGGCTAAGCGAGGTTTAGAAATGAATGGACTAGGTGTGGAATCCGGACCATGTGCTTGGTCGTCAAGGATTCCACCACTGAGCCGCAGACACACAGCAAGCTGATACACAGTTTGATAACAGAGCATCTGGTAAATTCTGGATATTCAGCGCCGTTTGAAAAGTCCTTCAAAGCTAAATATAAGATCTGATCCAACCTACCAAAGGGAGTGAAATGAAGACATCTAGTAATAGCTAAGGCGCTGGCGATCCAAAAACTCAAGCCTCTTCTATGTGTCCAAGTTCCAAGTTCGATCCATCCTATGAATTACTCTATATATGACATTAATTGTTTTGCCACTTGACATTTAACCATGATTATGATCACAAACATTTTAATTTTAACTGCATTTCATACTACTATTATTATTATTATTTTTGCATCCACACCTATGATTCAATTCCCTCACCGGATATAACTTCTTAAAAACCATACATATATATATATATATATCTACGATTGTACAGCTTGATAATAAATTCGTTGAGAAGAATCTCTTCGCTGAATCACTTGTTTTGATTTTTAAAAGAAATACGTCCAACCATTGTCCCCACCGTGGCCATTATGAAAAGTCAGTCTCACCAATAATGATTATCCTATTACCTTTCTTGTCCAACCTTCCCGTTTATTTGTTATATTTACCTTTTAAATCCCTATCTGTATTATTAGATTTGGTTGCTGTTTTTATTTTTATATGTCCGAACCTCCTACCTATTTCGTTAATATTATATCCTTAACCCGTAATTATACAAGCTGACTAGTTTTCTAGTAATTATAATCCTATTTTGTCTTTTCTACCCGATTTTCCTGATCATTACACATTGTAATGTTTAATTTCACCTTTGGCCTGAAATATTTTTGGATTAGTGCCACTACCGATCTTCTGTTTATTACACTTAGTAATCTTATTCATCTGACCTCTGACCGGTAATAATTCAGGAACTTTCTCACACATGTAGTATAAATACACGAATGTACAGCTAAGTTGATGACTTCGTCAAAAAGAAAATTTTCTTCTCTGCAACCGTCTTTTTAATAATTCTTATGATCTAATGTGTATATTCCGTGATACACAATCCCTTATTCATTGGAAGTCTTCTGTAAATTGAATAAGAAGGAGTTCGCTTTGGAAAGCAACAAATCTTAGTGACAATAAATTCGCATTTAACACCACTAAGTGTATAAATACTGAATTTGCAAAACAACATTTAAAACAATGAAATATTTATTTATTTTTTATATGATTCATAGGATAAAAAAAGGCTTTAATTAATAATGATTGAGGAAAAAATTCAAGTAAATTATGAGACGTTATTTATCTGAACTTTCAGTTTAAAAAAAGGTTCATCTCCTTAAATTTTAGTAAGCGAATCATTTAAACCACCATTGAAGTGAAGAAAAGGTGAGACACTTACAATGTCTCAATAGTATTCAATGTAATATGATGAGAAATATTTGTTCAAACAGTTTTTATACTTTCAAAATTAAATTATGGTTGGTGTATAAAATGAGTTTAAAAGTAACAAAAGATAATTTTTGATGAGAAGATTAGCAGGAATAGGGTTTTGGTTCCTTTCCTTTCATGGTTCTCAATATGTATATATTTATGAAAAGAAATCATGTTTGCCAAAGTAGAAAAGCCCATTTATCAACTCTGAAACTGATTAACGCTCCTGGTAGAGTGGCTAAATTACTACCGTATGAATCAGAGCCTACAATGGAATGCCATAATTTACCAAACTCTTCATCCAAACTTTCTTTCATCATTTTAGCTACTGTGTCAAGATCTTTAGTTTTATTTAACGATTGACGTGCTAAGTCTGTAATCCAATTCAATTTTGCTGGTGATAATGTCATATTTAAATTTTCATCACCTTCAATTTGCATGTATTCAATTTCCATACGATTTGTCAATCGATTAGATCCTAGACTATGTAAACTTAGATAATCAGGATGTATATCATATAGATCAAGTGTACTCAGTGATGGTACAGATTTAGCTAAACACATATGTCGATGGTGATGATGATGATGGTGATGAAGTGCAGGTGTTATTTGCATTCTAGAATTACTTAATGACTTGTATTTTTGATTTAAAATATACGGGCATATATGATCCAATGAAGGACAACTTATTCCATTCACTTTACGATTACAATAAGCATCAGCACGATTTAATGATCTAGAATCATAGTGTTCATGACTTAAAGTATTCACACTTTCATGACATCTTGGACAGATAACACTGTGACACTTTCGACAGATACTTGATTCCATTGATGTACGTGAATGAAGCCTATTTAAAGATGAATGTGAACGTTGATAATTTTTATGCCCTTTATTTAGATGTTTACGTTTACTACTACTACGACTGACCGGCATAAATAATTGACTTTGTTTAAATCCAGGTGAACGATTACCTTTACTTTGTGAAGTCACATAAGAATGCATATCATTGTTCATGTCAAGGTATCCTTCACCTGATGTATTACCATTCTCATTTGTATCTGACTGAAGATGTTCAGGAGCAATGAATTCTAAACGACTTATAACACGTTTTTGATCTATATTAGTTGGATTATATGTGATAGAACTTAGGACAGATGATGTTGCAGGTTTTTTATATCCATTACTATCTAGCGGTGATTGTATACTCTCTTGATGATCAGAAGAATGCTGATGACGTCGATGATGACGTTGACGATGTTGATAATGATGTTGTCTACGACTGTGACCAGATCGATGTGAAACACGATGTCTTTTATGCAATGAAACATTTGTCCTGTAATATTTACTTTCTGTTTTATTTTCATCATATTCATCATTGTCAATGTAGACTTCATTTTCATCATCTATGTACTCTTTGTTATCATTAGAAAAGGCAAATTTTTTAGTGACTTTAACTACACGTTCAGTGCCTGGGAGAAGGAAGATTTTCTCAGATTTATTAATGCTTTTTTGACGTTCATCATTATCGGTATTATTATTATTGACATCATTTTTGTCTCGGGGATTAGATATCTCAAGTCTTGGACTATAGGCTATTCGAACGGTGGGGGATGATTGTAAAGTATCCGAGGTACGTTCGTTCAACAGAGAACCTGGTGAATCCGAACGTGATAAAGTTGTAGAAGTTAATGTTTGACTTTCCATTGAAATTCTTTAAATAACTACAATGCAAAAATAAAGAAAAAAAGTATTAGTTAGGATACTTCTTTTAACGCAATAATTATATTACACAAGTAGAACTGAAGTCCAAAATATGAAGATCAAAACCAATATTCAATAACAGTTAGAACCCTATATACCTCCGAGTTACTCCTAAACCAAGCGTACAGGGACAACTAGGTTGTAGTCAAATAGGTTAGGAATGCATTTGCCATAACGTTCTCAATTAATCATGGGGAACTTTCAGCAGCATTCCGAGATACTGATACTGATAATATTATAAGCTGAAATATTTAAGACTTAGATTTCAAGGTCAAAAGTATTCAGAATAATCACAAATAATTGCAGTGAGGATAGAAGTTACAGCAAAACAAACTAACGGCACCTTCGTCTCATTATACTTGAATAAGTAGAATGAAAGGAGTCAATACGGATTCGAACTTCCTCAAGTGGTTATTCTGATGTGATTTTGTATTACTTGCTTAAAGGAATGCTGTAATCATATCAGGTGTTACGTATAGTTGACTTAAAGGTGTTTTAGCAACTCTGGTTTTACACAGCTAGAATATCTCTTGTGGCGTTTGCTACACGATTTACTAAAACACCTTACGATGGCTTTTATCCCACCTCGAATAATTCAGAAGGATGATTTTAATGAAGTTGTATTGTCCGATCAAAGTGATTCTACAAACAGAACTTTCACTGCTATTCAAAAGAAAACCTTGCAGATGAATGTTAGAGAGCGATCTACTCTAATGTCTCCACAAGTGTTTTAGTAGCTGGTTCCGAAGAGCTGAGATGTGTTTGGTTGTTTGGTTCAATAGGTAAGTTGAAAGTGTAAAAACAATTGAATGAGATGGAGTGACATTAAAGGGCAATAAAATGACTATTTACTCTCGGTCATTCAGGAAGTGTCTGTCAGACTCATAGGCAAACAAACAGCACAATTACAGAGATGCATCTAGTTGGAATATGTATGCACACACTCTCAGTACACATGTTGAAGTAACCAATAATATTCTGTGTTATCAGGATAAGAGGCTAAACATTTGTGGAGGAATTTTTCTATTGTTTATATGTTTCTTAAGTACAGGTGATTTTGCCTTGAAAGACGATGAGAAATTAGCGATTAAATTATCTACAATAATGAAGAAGATTTGCAGCTTATATAGATGGTTTTAATAGGGTGTGTTCTCTGAGTTCGTTGGTTTAATTATGAAGCTTTCAATGTCTTCTTAGACAACACTTTCAGTGAATACTTCAGTATGAAGTGAACTTATTTAAATCCTAAATGAATGACACAGCTATCGCTCCTGCGAATCTTGATTGTGATTGGCTGTTAATTTGGGGTAGTATTGATCGTTTTACTGACTTGGTATTAGACACTGCATCACTGAGTGATTGTTAAAATAAACTTATCTAATATAGAATTACATTCTACCACAGTGAGCAAGTTCTACACTTACATCAAAGATTGTAACCCATAGCACAGATGACTTGAAATGAATACGCATTTTGATGCAGTATTAGTTTCTAGTCATCGGTGTATAAGCAACATATTGGAGTCTGCAGGTATAACACTTATAAATATTCTTTCAAATAATGTGAAAGTGAACGGAGCAAATGATTATCAACAGCTTGATTATATTCAACATAATGCTTCCAAACTGGATGATAAATCAATGATTATGTGAACATTGGATGACTGACTGAATCATTAACTTAGAACTTTGCAGAAAATTTCATTAGTACAAGTTGACATACTTCATAAGACCGTGGGCATAATGACGCTGAACATGAATAAACACATCAACTGAATACTGAACATACCCATTCAGCCTCAATGACTTATAATTCAATGAGCTAAGAAAATATCAGAAAACAGTGACTGGTCTGTGAGTGTAAGGAGTACGTTATCAAAAGAAAGATACACCAGCTATATACACTTTCCACATACATAAAATCACACCAGTTTAGTGGTGAAACAGCTTATTCTGATTATTTCAATACGATCAAAAATTACTATACCCACTTCATGAAAACAACTTAAATCTAAATTTGAGACACAAAACGTGCTTTAGTAAAACATGACTTAAAACCTTAAAGCCGTCTCCTCTCAGGGTGTACAGATTCTTAACTTTGTTTTAATGTACTCCTACATCTGGTAGCATTGGTCACTGTAAGATCATAAGATCAAATGCAACTTTGCAAATGTTAGAACTAGACAATTCGTTACATCTCTACATACTGTCTTGAAACTTTCTACGCTCAATACGTAGGTAGGAAATCAAAGGTGAAATTTAGCATTCTACTGATATTTGAGTAAAATCGTAAAATTCAATGTGATCATTTAATATATGTGTAAAACTTGGGCACTGCGGTAGTAAGCAATTACATATTAGTTTGTTTATTAGATGTATCACACAGTGAGACAGTGTTATTTACTGGATGGTGTTCCTAACAAAGTTTATTTTTCATAATCATATCAACTGTAATCACACGACTTCGAAACGTTCGTTTTATAGATTTCTTTATTCTCTCCTATTTATCTTAGGGAGAGTAGATATCTGTCCAGATATCTGGGACAGGTATTGAATCATTCCTATTGCATGTATTTGCAGTTGATTCGTTAAACAAAGCTTCCGTTATCAATCTCTCCCTCCACCCTGTGACATTAGATTTTAAAAAAGTCATCTTATTCCATCCTATTGTACGGTATGTTGTGTGTAATTGCATGTAGTAAGTGCTATAGCTGAACTATTCTCTAAATATCCTACCTCATTCGGATCAGCTAATCTAGATTTTGCGGAGTTTTTGCGCTCCGATAGTCTGACTGCACCTGTTCTATTACTTTGACCTATGTATTTGACCTGAAAATCATTCCAGCCGGGTATTAGATAAACTAAATTGTTTTGTTTTAAGGGCTCCACAGGATCCTTTAACTGACAAAGCATGTTTCTAATTGAGTTTGTGGGTTTGAATGTCACTTTTATTCCTTCATTGTTAACAATTCTCCGTAAGGTTTCCGAGGTTCCTTCTTTGAATGGAATTACTACTGATGATTTAGATTCCTTATTGTTGGTGCTGTCTTGCACATGTTTGACATGCATGTAGTCATTAATGTTACTATTATTATTATCATTATGGTTGTCATTATTATTATCACTGTCACTATTATCATTATTTATTATATTTTTGCATTTTCCTACATACTTTTTGACTAATTTATCAGGATAATTGAATTTCAAAGCTTCTCTTATATGTCTCACTTCCTGTCTTAGATTTTCTTTGGTACTACTTAGTTTTTGTACTCTATTATTTAAACATTTCACCAATCCTATTTTCACTGACATAAGATGGTATGATTGGAAGTCCAAATGTCTGTTTGGATGTGGGGGTTTCCTGTAAATACTAGTGCTTAAATTCCCATCTTCTATCCCTTTCGCGCTACAATCTAACATTAAAAGTTCCCCTTCCTGACTTTCCACTTCATAAGTGAATTGAATTGCCTTCACCTTTGAGTTAATGTGTTCGAAAAGTCTATCTATATCCTGTGTTCCAAGTACAGTGAATGTGCCATCTACAAACCTCCACCGTACTCTTGGGGTGGGGCTGAACATTTCAATCGCTATGTTCCCCTCCTATCTACGAATATATCTGCCACAACCGAGGATATTGGTGGTTTTTTTGAAGGTTTTCTTCCTTCACGTTCCCCAGTGGAACATAGGGCTTCAAGCTAGTGGCTTGAAGTTTCTCTAGCAGTGTTTGTTTTACAGGATGGGGTTGCTAGCCTCCTGACAAACCTCTCCTCTTTACCATTATTATTTCTGGCTTAGCGAGGTAAAGGAGTGCGTCAGTGGCCGGGGATCGAACCCCAAACCATTTGCATGATCGGCGGAAGTCCTCACCGCTATGCCACCGACACCACGATATTGGTGACCCCATGGGAACTCCCTCAGTTTGTTTGTATATTTTCCCCTGGAATTTAAATACTGTGTGATCATCATTAATTAATGAACAGCGCAAAATATCTTTCCCAAAGAGACTCTCAAAATCATCTGCATTAAGTGTGTACACTTTAAGTGGGACACTGCAAAACCTAATAATAATACTCTGAATAAAAATAATTGATTTAAAAACTTTAATGATTTACTTGGATATCTCAAGGAAGCTAAGAATTTTGGCATATATATGTATATGTTTATTATATAATGAGAACGGAATGCTAAAAGTATTCATTTAAAACACACAAACACACACTGGTTAAAGGTCATTCAACTCATTTACTTTCATTGAAGTAACCCTTTATAGTGTAATAATAAAACTACTAGATTTGCTAAGAGACAATGAGTTCTGTTTGAATGAATTTAGTGATAGAAATATTTATTTTAAGTAATAGCTTAGAATACTTTCAAGTTAAACCATGAGGAAGCTGAGTGAATAATTAAGTCGACTATCTACCTATATACCAATCTTTCTGTCTATCTATCTATCTATATTTACTACTTTTTTATTTTTAAAAGTAGCTGGTTAGTAAACAGTAATTTATACAAACACAAAGATACTTCATTTACTATGCTAAAACTGTAGTTCTTGCATTGTTCAAATAAGAATTATCACAACTATTTCAATGATGAATGGAATGTAAGTGAAAAGACAGAGACATAGAAATCAATCTATAATACTATTCTTATATCGTATCATTTAAATTGACATTTTATAATTGATAAATTGAAGAAATGGTGGGAAAAAGAGACAGAGAAATGCTGAATGTGAGAAAGATGAATATACAGAGTTGTATGTATAGCTATAAAAAGAAAGAATTTGACTGTTCACAAGGCGTACAGATACTTTATTTAGTCATATTTGCAATTTGAAGGTTAGGCAGTTAGTGATGAAATTTCACCATAGTTTGTTTCTCTTGGAAAACCGAAATAATGCAGATCACAATATATGACATGCTGTGATATCATAAATAGGCAATT